AAACCAGGTCAGTCCAGGCTACAGTAAGTAGTAAGCTGTGTCAATTTGGGACGTTTTTGCCAAGACGGGCCCTGTGACATTGCGGGTGGTGGAGAGTGGCAGGGGGTACAGAGAAAACTGCAGCAAAGCAGAGATGGAGACTTAGTCCCACATTAGTATAAAACCGATCTGAAGCATTAACTGAGGAATAAACTGACTAGTGTAAGCGGCAAAGACAAAATGAGTTCCACCACTTCGAGTTATCCGTCTGATTTCCACAAACATCTCAGTCATGCATTGTGTGTGTGGTTTTTTAAATTTATTTTACTGCACCATTGAACATCTTTCACTGTTACAGGCACGCATGTGTATATATTACTGGGGGATTTCCCATGCAATTAGTAATGAGTTATTTAAACTTTATATCTTAAAGTTTTAATAGTTCCCACAAATGTGACAATTACACTTTGGCAAAATCACCTGTGAGGACAGAAGGAAGACTTGAAGCAACAGAACTCCAAAATACTGCAACATTAACTTCAGACCTCCTGGAAGGGGTCGCTCTCCCTCCAAAAATCACCGTCCTTCCTGGATGATTCCCACTAGAATTCACAGCAGGTTCATCATCGCTGGCCTGGCTTTGTACCATGAGGAGACAGTTGATCCATCCAGCCATATTCAAGAAAGTTCCATGTAAACAAAAATGTCCAGAATAAAACACCTGAAAAGAGAAGCTCCCGAAGGTGACACATCCATATTATCTAATCTCCAAATTCATAAGAACATTTGGATTACATACAGTGAGGATTAGGGTCTGAGGCAATTTCCATTTGAGCAGCTACTTTCCTGATTCAATACCTTCATTCCTACCTGCGGCGACTCAGGTGCAAATACACTCAGAAGTACAAATAGGTAACAACTTAGCAGACGAAAGGCAAAGCTAGAGAACAGGCATGCTCGGTCTAAATTCAAAACCCAAATCAGGTCGCGTTTCCTCATTTTATTTTCTAATATAGTCCTTTTTTGCAGTCTTTAATTGCAAGAGTGTAAAGATATATTTAAAAGCAGGAAATGTACCTTGCCTTCCAGGAAAAAAATGTGATATGAGTTGGCAAAGGATTAAGCTAACCACAGACAATACAGAATTGTTTTTTAGCATCTGAACTCGTCCTTAGCACCAAGCTAAGCTGCTTGTCTGGAACCAATAGGAGAAACATCATCAAGTTTAAAACTGGTGGTGAATTAAACACCTTAGTCCCAAGAATCAATCATACTGGTATTTTCTGGTCTCATTTTGTAGGGAGTTCATCAAACTGAGGACATTCGTGAGTTGAAGGGGTCATGACAGAACAGTGAGAACAAATGCTTTTTTTCTTCATCTCCTTCACTGTTGTATTGACTGATCTGCATAATCAGATTTGGAAAGCCTTTCTTCCCCCCAAATTATACCTTTTCTTTAAATGTCTGAAGTTCCTATGTAGAGTTGACTGTCATTTTGATGAACAGTTTGATCTCTCCTTGAAAAATATTGAAAAATATTTTTTTTGAAGAGTGAATTCTGCAGAACTGATTCTATTAACATGACTACAGAGCTCTGGAGGGACTTCTATCAACAGTAATTCTCAACTACCCTTAGGTTAACTCAGTGGCTCAGGACTAGAGACCAATTTGCCTGCAGAGGATTGTGGCGATGTCTGGGGACATTTTTTGTTGTCACGATTCATGGGTGTGCATCTAAGTGGGCAGAGGCCAGGGATGCTGTGCAACATCGTACCATGCACAGGACAGCCCCCCACAGCAAGGAATTGAAAATGTCACTAATGCTGAGAAAGCATAACAGAAATTCTTACTACTTACGGGGCAGCTGCCTTATAATCCCAAATCCACCTTAGTGATTTCTTTGATCTTGAAAGCACTCTTTCCTACTGAATTTTGGCATTCCTGATTTATCCCCCACTAGAGTTTGGCCAGCTGGTGGCAAAAAGCAAAAGAAAGTAACCAATATAGAGAATATTTTTAATCCTTCCTCAAACAATGTCTCCCTATTTTATTGATGCTTTATCAATAATTAGAGGGATCATACATTTTTTTTTCCTGTCCACAATGGAGCCTGGTAGTCCTAATGAATATTCATAATGGCCAAATGTCATGAAAACAATTCATCTCTATTTTCAAAAACCAATGTTGACATTTGGAAGATGAAAGCAGACACAGGACATCCCAGAGCCGGTGCTGAAATAATGGGGAAAGGACTCTTTCTATGGAGATAGAAGGACAGAGGACAGAAGCAAGCGCCATCCAGGTTAGCGTGCAGGATGGCTGGTCCTGACCTGACACACAGAGGATGCTCTAAACTTTTAAAAAATTATTTTCATTTCCTTAAAAAAAGAGAAAGATTTCTGGAACTGACCTAAGCACACAGGAACACTAAAGTAAAACGATAGCATTTTTCTAATCTCAGAGGAAAGCAGTATTGGTAAAACCACTGTTCATCAGAACTACTACCACCAGGCAAGGTTGGCTCAAAGAGGAAAAGAAAAGTCCTGCCTTTCCTTGGGAGAATTAAAATACAGAAACAACTAAAGGGAGAGTAAAACCCAAGTAAAAATCCCAGACTGCAGGCATCACAGTGCCGGAGATGACTAAGGAAACCACCTAGCCCCATGCAAAAATATTGCACTTAATCAGCTTGTCTGAAAACATTAAACACATTCAAACTGTCTTAAAAGGGATTATTTCACATGAACTCTATGTGAATAAGTGTCCATCAAGTTACTTTTCTGAGGTAAATTTAGATATATCGGAATTAAGTGCCTTTTCCTTAGAGAACATTATCTGGATATAAACTAGTGCACATTTCCTTAGCCAACTGCACAGAAACTATAAAATTCTAATCTTTTAATAAAAGCAGAACGATGTGAAATCAAATTAGACCTTCAAATCTGGAAGTGAGGGACAGATTTCTTCTTTGGTTCCAGTCAAGACATCTCAACCAACATTTGTCTAGAATTTCATCCACTCATCACGGTGGTGAGCTTCAAAGAGAAGCCCCCGGATTTTTTTGAGTACATGCCGTACTTTTAGTATTAAAAATGAAAGTGTTGTCTTATTTTTACCCCTCTTTTGGCTGTAGAGACAAGTCCAATAAACTCCTAGGGGTAAAAATGCATTTACCTTATTCATGGCCAATTTATTTATTTTTTTAAAGTTTTTTTTAACCATTTTCTTTTTTTTTAAGATTTTATTCATTTATTTGTGAGAGAGAGAGAGAGAGAGAGCACAAGCAGGGGGAGTGGCAGGCAGAGGGAGAAGCAGACTCCCTGCTAAGCAGGGAGCCCGATGTGGGGCTCGATCCCAGGACTCTGGGATCATAACCTGAGCCGAAGGCAGACGCTTAACCAGTTGAGCCACCCAGGCGTCCCTTCATGGCCAATTTAAACCCAGATCATAAATTTTGAAGGAATGAATGAAAAAAATTCCTATCCTACTGATCACAACCGCTTACTTATTTCAGCCTTAGAATGAACACTAAGACATTTTTTTTTTTAAAGCTGGTATTAGTGCTCAAAAATGCAGGCGCTTTTTCCATTACCAACCCAGCATTTCTGTTGACTCCCATGCAGATTCTAAACAGAACTCTGTGCCTGGAGCCTAACAGATGACCATTGCCAGTCAATTTTACAACCCATCAGGGAAGACTCTAGTTCTCTATGAGGGCATCTCCACTTTCTCAGACCTATTTTGAGACTGTTCTGATTAAAATACTACTGCCTAAACAATGTGTTCAATATAGGACAGAGCCTTCTTCAATACTAATGTAAGTCAATTATGGATTCAAATCAGAGTCTAATAAATTTATTTGAAATTGGTAATATGGGTCAGAGCCAGAAAAGGAAATAAAGAAAATCGTAAGTTCCTCAAAACACATTAAAAGGCAGCAATTAAATTAATTTTCATTTTTCCCTACACGTACACTTTACCAACAAGTTACTAGTTGGCAACTACAATAAATATTTTAAAATATGCCTAGTGAAAGAAAAGTCAATCTAGCTTGGTTTTTTGGCAGGAATGAATACTCAGTGTCATATATTCTTCTATCTCAGGAATACCCATGTTCTCCTGGCAAAGGTTACACATATCAGTGTGATCATATAAAAAAAAAAACCCCAAAGGAAATTTGGACAAATAAGTCATTAAGCAATAAATGAGAACAGTCCCCACCTGGACTGATTCTGCAAGACAACATTTAAGTATTGTGTCATACCTTAGGAAGTGGAAATATTCCCATACTTCCAAGTGAAAAAAAAAAGTATTTTATGCATTAAACATCTGGAGCACCCTACAGCTGTCATTCATTTCACAGCGGAAAGTAAACATTAGTTTTGTCTCTACCTCACAAAATGAAGAGGTGGTCAGAAAGCCTTTTCTTCCTGTCTTCCCCCAATGAACTCCATGCCCTCGCATGTTCTGAGAATATTTTCTACTCCCATAGGTGTTCACTTTACATTTATTCGAAAATGAGTCAAAGAAAAAAATTTCCACAGTGACAGGACTATCCAACGTTCCTTTTTTGTGATCTTCGAGTGGAATGAAAAAAAAAAAAAGAGCTATCATGATTCTTAAGCTTTTTCGATGTACTTGGCTACGAGCTCACCTGAGAGTCAGTTACACGTTCCAATCACTTTAAAATAGGAACTACTTTGAATCCCGCGGCCACAGCCATGGAGTCCCAGCCTTCAGCGTCCCTGACACGTATGTGAGCGCAGTTGGCTTCTCAAAATAAATGCGCAAACGGAAACGACGAGTTTGTGGAAAAGCAGCATGAGATACCCGGGACAATGTAAAGGGCTTCTCGGTCACACAGAAATTAACAGACACATGCAATTAACATCCCAGACCACCAGCCCCTTGTTGAACACGGAGCGAGCACACCGCCAGTTTGATCAGTGTCTACAGCCCACAGAGGTCCTTCCACAAGCCAGAGCGCCTCATCTACGCAGTCTGTTCATGTGGGGACCAGATTAAAAATGTGTGCTGTTGACATAATGTTGGTCCTCCTGAGTTTTGCTAAGAGCTTGTCTGTGGTCACTCAGGCAGCTGTCCAAAGATACTTCAACAGCCACTTGTGTTGTTTCGTGCCTACCGAAGCTATCACTTGGGTAGGTGTCTAGGGGGGGACAGCCGTTGTGCTCCGCACAGCCATTGACGTGGGCCAGAGGCAGGGCCCCCGGGGGGCAGCACAGCTGCTTCTCACAGCCCTTGGAGATGCAGGGTGAGCTGCAGAGCAATAGCGAGTCCTTCGGCTCCACGGGGTCCTTCAAGTCCACCTGCTCAAACTGGATGGTCACATTGTGGATTCCCACACTGTGGAAGATTTCTCGAATTTTCCTACTGACGTCCTGATAGCCCCTGTCCTTCTGATACTTGATGTGCAGGGTGGCAATGATCTTTCCGCTTATAAGTTCCCAGATGTGCACTTCATGTACACTGCTAATCCCGGGCACGGCCGAGAGTTTACTCACTACAAGAAGGAAGAGCAGACAATTAGAGAAAGGCTCCTGGAAACAAGGTCCCATTACGGGAGGGACATGGTCCCTGAAGGCACTCTCACCAAAACGGTGTATTTACAATGGGAAGAAAAAGAGCTCTATCTGTATGGGTACATTTTCCCATAATCTTCTTTCTCTTCTCTGCGTCCCTGTGCCATCCATCATGAACCCATAAAAGGCAATTCAAGAAAATAAGTTCGGGGGCGCCTGGGTGGCTCAGTTGGTTAAGCGACTGCCTTCAGCTCAGGTCATGATCCTGGAGTCCTGGGATCGAGTCCCGCATCGGGCTCCCTGCTCAGCAGGGACTCTGCTTCTCCCTCTGACCCTCCCCCCTCTTATGTGCTCTCTCTCTCTCTCTCTCTCTCTCTCATTCTCGCTCTCTCAAATGAATAAATAAATAAAATCTTTAAAAAAAAAAAGAAAGAAAAGAAAATAAGTTCGACAACACCCAGAAGAATTCCCAAGGTTCAAGGGAATGGACACCCAAACAGGCTGTGTTGGGAGCATAAAGTAGGATGCCTTTTTGAAAGGGGAGAACTTGGCAATATGGACCAAAAACTTACCAACAGCTCTAGTACGAGGAATTTAACCTACAGGGAAATACCCTAACATTCATGTACAAAAATGGTTTGGGTAATGTTCTTTGTATTAATGAAAAAAATAGAAATGAGGAAATAGTTAAATCAATTATATAAAAGAATATAACAGCCATTAACAAGTAAGTTGCATATTTAAAGACATGAGGAAAAGTATATAAGATATCTTTACGTGAAAAAGCAAATAGTTATACTGTATATACGGCACTTTTTTCTTCCTTTTTTTAAAACAAACATCAGTGTATATACCCACACAAAAATTTTATGTAGGTTAAAGCTTGTTTCATTGAATGACTGACTCAAAAATATTAAAAGTGGTAATTTCTGGGTGGCAGGATCATGAGAGATTTCTATTTTTTTATTTAAATCTTCTATACTTTCTCAAATGAGCATGTATTTAGAGAGATGGTGTAGAATAGTGATTCTGAGCAAAGACCCTGTAAGCCAGCCAGAGTCTGAATCCCAGTTTAGACATGGCCTTGGGTAATTTAGCTAGCCCCCAGTGCCTCAGTTTCCTTATCTGTAAATCAGGAATAATAATGAGAGTACCCCGTAGGTTTACTTGCAGGATTAAAATGAGTGAATATAAGTAAAGCACTTAGAACATTACTAGCATATAATAAGTGTCATAGAAGTGTTGCTACTGTTATTACCATCTATTTTTAAACGTTTTTAAATATATATATATACACACACAACTTTGTTAAAAGGCAATATAAGCCATTATATATCACAAATCATTTTGATATGTTTATCTTGTTTCTTCAACTGGAAAACAAGCTCCTGGAAGGTAGAGACCATGCTGCCTATCTGCTCCTGGGTATCTCCTTCCCCAACCCCCCACCTCCTCTGCCTGCCGCACTGGGCAGATAGCAGATTGCAGGAAATGAAGGCTGATTGTTTTAACTCTGTACCGCAAAGCAGCCAGAGAGGTGACCACGCCTAACTGACTCTGAGACTGTAAACGAAGCAATGCTGCCCAAGAGGAGGCTCCAAAAGGTGAAAAGAACATCCAGGGGAAAAGACTAGGAGAAGCACCAGCTGTTAGCAATGGCTCGACCAGCTGGTCCCAATGCATGCTACTAAACAGAGGGCTGACAGGGCTATGACCTACCCTGACCACCGCAAATCACACCCTCACAGGGGAAAGCCTAGCCATGGACATACAATGTATTAAGACCCATTCAAACCTCATTTCAGGGATCTGTCATGAAGTAAGGTCTTCCGACTTTGAGCCTCATAGTGGGTCGGGCTCTATCTCATGGTGACTGGCTCACTGGTGAAGCAATGATAGTATAACAGCAAATATGCAAGAAAATTCTTCTTCTATAAAAACATAATCTCCATTTAGAAACACTAGAAATAAAGTTGCACATTCAGTGTCTCACCAACATCTGGATAGTTCCCACCTAGAAACTCTGCAAAGTCTCTAAACTATGTATGCTCAGATGCATATAACTAAGGTGAGAGTTTGACCTTCTGTTTGAGCACAGCAAAGAGACAGGTTTCGTTACTGAAGGAGGTCATGAATGACCTGAATTTAAAAAGGGGTCCTTTTTATGGTGTTATAAGAGACACGGTGACTTTCGTGCCCATAAAAAATCAATTAGCTAGAAAGCAGGATCCAGAATACGAATGAATGATTCCTATTTTCTGAATAAGGAGAATAAAAATCAAGTCCTTGGCAGGGTAACCTTATGGGAATTAAAATAAAGCCTTGATGTGAACGTAAGAGCCGAGGCATAGGTCTTGCCCAACACTATACTCTCAAAAATTTCCAGGTGAGTCAGAGAGTCATGGGTTGCAAAGGACCTTTGGTTCTTGGAGCTGTGAGTCATCTTCCTAGGCTACCAAACATATGATAGATGTCTCTATTGCCAGGTGATTTAAAGTACTTCAGGAGACATAAATCAAACACGGTTCTGAAATAACGCTGGCCCTTTGGCCGGAGGAGCATTAAGCGGGCATGGTTCTAGATAAGCATCATGTGACTTACTCAGCTCTTCCATGTTAACTCCTCTGGGGACCATCTGCAGCAGAATGGCAGCAGTCTCCTTGATGAGTGGGAAGGCAGATGACAAAATGATGATGACCATGACGATAGTCAGGCTGGGGTCGATGTAGCACTGCCAGTTACATGGGTCCTCAGGTTGCAGGGGACGCATGTAGAATATGATGGCCGTGACCACCACGACCACCGATCCCAGGGCATCGCCCATCACATGCAAAAGTACACCTGCCAGGAAGAAAGAAAGACCGCTAAGGCACCGATTCAAATTCGGGAGCTGCGTGACGCTCAGTGACCCGGGTTCCCAAGTCTGAGACCAGTTGCTATTTGTTTTCCTTTTGGTTAAAACAGCAGGATGGATGCGAATGAAAAAAATTAAAAAGTCCGCTACTTTGCAGAAAACAAAACCCTAGGCCACCATCCCAGGACCCAGCAACAGCCTAGGAAGATTCTGAGCTACAGACGCCAGTGGGAAGAGGGACTGTATCTGCCCATGGTGCCTCACCACCGCGGCCTGCCACTCATCAGAAGGCACCAAACTGGAAAACAGAGGCTGTGCAAATGGTTTCTTATTCTTTCAAACAAGTATCTGCGACTTAAATGGTTTTAAACATTTTTAAGAGGAGAAGGAACTAAAACATATCAAGAGGGTGGTTCTTGGGGCACCTGGGTGGCTCAGTCCATTAAGCGTCCGCCTTCAGCTCAGGTCATGATCCCAGGGTCCTGGAATCGAGCCCCGCATCGGGCTCCCTGCTCCGTGGGAAGCCTGCTTCTCCCTCTCCCTCTGCCTGCCGCTCACCCTGCTTGTGCTCTCTCTGTCTCTGTCAAACAAATAAACAAAATCTTTAAAAAAAAGAAAAAAGAGAGAGAGAGAGAGTTGTTCTTGTTATTCCTTGTCTTTCCTCTTCCTTGATCCATTTCCCCCCTTCCCTACGTGTCTTTGCCTACTCCTCACTTAGTCCGGGTCATTCAAACTGGTTCAAGAGGTCATTAAGAAGGGACTCCAGCAACACTGCCACTGAATAAAGAGCCATTTGTCACAATAAAATAAAATTAAAATTAAAGAGATAATAACAAACATCGTGGTTGCCTTTAATCAAGGGACTCAACCTTAAAGGTTTTGATTATGATACAGAAAATATGCAATCCTAACACAGAAGATCTGGGTGTCCAGTTGTATGCGAGACACAGACTAAACTGGGATTTAGGTGAAAATCTTGTCAGAAGGATTATAAAAATATAAACACCAGGTGATTTTTTTTTTTTTGCAGAAAACAAAAGACGCTTGCTATTCAAAGCATGGTGTGCCGACTAGCAGCATCAGCATCCCCCAGAAGCTGGTGAGAGATGCAGAATCAGGCCCCACCTCAGATCTGTGGAATCCAATTCTGCATTTTTAACAAGATCACCAGGGGATTAAAACTCAAATAAAACTCCCAGAGCCCTGCTCTAGAAGAAAGCATATAGATTAAGAAAGATTCATTTTGTCTCTCCAAGTATCCCACAGATCCATTCAGTTGAATTAATAATAATCTAAAATCCTAATAACTCACTTGTGGCTACAACCAAACAGTCTCACTTGGAAGATGCTTTAATTGGGCTAATGTTGCTTTTTAGCAATACTTTTAGGATTCTGAGTAGCTGAGTAGCATCAGAGGCAAAATAGCATTCTGTAAACATACTAAATGCAATTTGTGGCCACCTCGCCCCCCACCCCAAAATAATACAGGAATAAAAAATATCTCCATATTTCCTTCTCGCTGAATGGTTAGGTATTAGAACAGAATTCTGGTTCAACAAATACATTAAACAATTCCATCTTCTAATTCTGTGCCCCTTTCCCCCCACCCCACCCACAAAAGAGCTTTTTTACTCCCCAGTCCCTGTCCCGAGCCACAAAGAGAAAATCCCAAAAGTAGGTCTTATATACCTTGTTCCTCCAGGGAAACCTGAAGATCAAAGCCTGAACCTTCCCCAGGGCAGTACAAAGTGATACTATAAAAATATGAAGACCAAGTATTTCCTATCTGCACTTGACATCATTTTCACTGCCTGAGACAGTTGTCATCCTCTGTTTCCTGCATGACAGCCTCGTTTCCTCCATGAGACACAAAGTGACGTGAGGATGAGGGTCATGCTCTGCATTTCTTGTGTTTATATTTTGGCACTAGAAGCATACAATGTGGCACTCAATGAAACAGTATTTTCTGGTTGGTCGGTCATAACTCCCATGACATAGAATAGCTGCTGCCTTTTACTTAATAATAATAATTGTATTGCCAGTTAACATATATGCATCAGACGTTGTTGTAAGTATGTTCCATGTATTTACATATTAAGTCCTTTGAAGGACTCTCTGAAGTGGTTACTCTCCCCATTCTACAAATGAGGAAACTGAGGCATGGAATAGCTGAGTAACTTATCCAAGATCACACAACTAGAAAGTGCCCGAGTAGGGATATAAATCTGGCATAGTCTAACTAGAGAACCACTGTGCATCCTTCCTCACAGAAGTCCTAGATTCCCATTTCAGGTTCTCCTCCTAAGAAATCTCACTATTAGCCCCTCACAATTATATAAAATAGCTTTCAAACTTGTTTTCCCCATAACCCACAGTTAGAATCCGGTTCTGCCTCCTAGCACACACAGAGACACGCACTGAAACAAGCATGAAAAAACAAAGCCTGTCCCAACATGTGATTTATTACTGCTTTCTATTCTATTTCGTTCAATTCTGGTTCATTTTCTAAATGCTGATCATATTCTAATAAATTGATTTTGTGACCCAAACTATCATGGCTTTCAGTTTGAAAAACTGCTTAAAGCATGATCTCCTTAAATTCTTGAGACTGGATATTAGAGTGTGTTTTCTGGCCTCCTGTGCAAAGATGAAGAAGGCCTGGTCATTATCCTCCAGGGACCACAGTCCACCGGCAGGATCCTCGGAGAAGCGCACCAGGAACCTCGGAGTTGGGGGGCGGTGAGTCCCTGTGAGGGGACACCTCAAGGATGGCATCTTGAGAGATGGGGCAGTTGGGCAGGACTCTGAAGGGGGGACAGACCTCAACCGGCAGCAGAGTTCCAGGCAGAGAGAACTCAGAGAGGAAGTGTTCCAGGCAGGGAGCTCCAGGGAGGCTGCAGATGGGGACGTGACTGACAGGCAGCGGGGTGCCCTCAGAATGAAGTCACAGACCCTGACGGTTTCCGTGAGCCATGGACCTTGCCAAAGTCAACCTCTGTTAGTCACAGGACTCTCCTCTGTGCAATGGGGATGAGAACGGCATCTGTCACACTTCTCTCGGAGACTAGTTCTGAAGAGTCTATTGAAACGATGTCTGAAAGCCCACTGAGATGAAGCGCCCAGAACTGATGGAGACAACGGTAATGAGCGCGATTCGTTGAGTGTGTCCTCTGTGCTATTCCAGCCACTCATGCAACACTCACAACCGCACAGTGCTGCTGTTGTGATCTCCATTATACCGACAAGGAGACTGAAGCTCAAAGAGGTTAAGTTACTTGCCCAAGGTCACCCAGCTAGTAAAAGGCAGAGGTTGACCTTGAACCAGATCTGCCTGACTGAGCACTGGTCACCTCGCTGTAGGTGTGCATTTAGATGGGGATGGAGGGGCAGGAGAGACAGTTCAGGGTCTAGGAGAGGTGGTGGGGCAGCAAAGGGGTGAAGAAAAGGGCAGAAATGTCTAGAAAGGACTACTGGCACCGGAACAGCAAGCCTTTGAATGTCAGCAGTGTTAGGACTTTATTCTGGAAGCAGCAAAGATTTCTGAGCAGATTCTGATGGGATCACATCTGTGATTCAGAAAGATAAGTCAGGCAGCATTATCTGAGAGACGAAGATCGACACTTGGTAGACAGCTCAATTATCTGTTCACAAGGGAGCTTTGCAATGACAGGACACCTCAACAGTTGGCCCTCACTTCCTGTCTTGAGATTTTTTTAAAAACTCAGAAAAACTGGCAATTTGACATAAGTTGGAATTTAATGTGTCCCAGGCCTTAAAAAAGCCATCAGTGTTGTTGAATGTGTTGATAACCAGAAACACAGTGCATTAGCCCTGGGCATTAACAAGTGGTTATGGGGAAGGAGGAGTTCTTTCTTACTGGAAAAAAACAATTAGAAAAAAAAATCTCATCAAAGGAGACTTATTTTCAAATGATGTCAGGATTGCAGTTTATCTATTTATATTTGTACTGAAATACAAAAAGTTAATAATCTTTCTGACACTCTGTTGCAACAGTTTTTAATGTATCACATTTGATCCTATTAAATAAAATCAACAACTAAAATTGACGAGAATTTATAAAGGTTTGTGGTTTCACTGTGCTTTGCAGAAGATGGACTGTGTTTCTCAGAAGGCATTTGGTTTTTTTCCACTGAAATAAGAGAAACACTAATGAAAATCCAGAAATGATTTTTGTTCACAAGAATCCCCGCCAGTCATTTGCTCCCCTGCAGATCTGGGGGGACAGTCCTGTTTTCTCAAGCAGTGGCTTAAAGGTCAAAAGTGTAACCACTCAGGGCGCCTGGGTGGCTCAGGTGGTTAAGCGACTGCCTTCAGCTCAGGTCATGATCCTGGAGTCCCCGGATCGAGTCCCACATCGGGCTCCCTGCTCAGCGGGGAGTCTGCTTCTCCCTCTGACCCTCTTCCCTCTCGTGCTCTCTATCTCTCATTCTCTCTCTCTCAAATAAGTAAATAAATAAATCTTAAAAAAAAAAAATAAGTGTAACCACCCAGTGGACTGTCTACACTGGAGAAGCAAGCCACCCTGCGTGGAGTGCACAGGCAATGTGCAAGACTGGGAAGAGGTGGAAATGAGAAGTAGGAGCCCAGGAGCCCAGCCCCGCCTCAGCTGCCAGCCTGGGTGACTTGGGAAGTCACCAGACTCACGGGACCCTGTCTCCTTATCTGCAAATCGAGGGGGTGGAGTCCATTCCCACTAAGGCCTTTCTACGCCTTCTCTGAATCATGGCTCCGAGATGAGGACACACGACCTAAGGGGAGGCCAGCCTCCCACTTGGCCTGAAAGAAAGAAGGAGAGGCTCCTGGGAGCCACGGCAGGGCCCGGAGCGCTTACCCTCACCTCGGCAGCAGGGTTGAGCCCAGCAATTCCACTCACTACCTGACAGTCAACAGCTCCCACCTGATGAGATTCTTACAAATGCGAGTGACTCACGCCTGCACGGTGTCTGGCACAAAGCATGCACTCCATTAACAGGCTTTTCCTTCCACATCGCCCAAGCACTTGACATGTTTTATCGAACAGTCACCCCCTCAAGTAGACACTATTTAAAAGATGAGGGAATTGGAAGCTTAGAGAAGTCCCCAAACTTGCCCCAAGTCAGAGTCTTCAACAGCAGAGCCAAGACCCCAGACCCCGGCATCCTGAGCCCAGATCTCAAACTTTCGGCCACCGCATCATTCACCTCTGGTGGAAGCTACAGGTGCGCGCTGCTCAGTACCTGTGGAGCACAGGGCCGAGCCAGCTAAAGCAAGGCTCTACCGAGGGCATTTTTCCAACCAGGAGCTCCAACAACTTTAGACTCAAGATCGGCCGGATCATACAAGTTTCATGATCATGCGACAAGTTTCATGATCATGCGGCAAGTTTCATATATCATGCTTCCCAAACAAGGTCACAATATCTACTGGTCCCACTCCTAAGTCCTCTCAGCCTCTTTTCACCTACCTGTTCTCCTCCTCTACAGCATGAGAATGGATAATTAACGGAATGTGCTTTGCAAAATTAAAGTGCTATGGAAAATCTATGATATATATATAATATACATAGTATGTATTTGATATCTAAAATATATATAGCATATATTATATTTTAAACTGAACCCAAAGAAAGAGAAAGGATAGTGATTTTTCATTACAGAGTCTCTCTTTCCAAAAAAGATTCACCACCAAGCACTTTAGAAATTCCCCTGTTGCCGTTCAATTTTTAAAAATTGACTCACGTAGAAATTCTTAGGAGCTCATGTATGGTTGTTGTTATTGTCGGGGTTTTTTTTTTTTTTTCTGATTTTCCCTACAGATCCATTCCAGGTATCACTTTGTAAAACAGATGGGAGACTCTCAAAAATGAAAGCGTCTCCCAGATGACTACTTTTTCTTTACGTTATTTCCATTTAAGCCCTACCACAGGCTTTTCCCCCAAATCATCTGGAAGTAAAGGCTTAAATAATCTTTGTTGAAATCCTCCAAGTTGAGATGGAGGACCTGGGCAAAGTCTCTGCCCAAGAAGTTGGAAGAGAGAGATGTTGGATACAATGTCAGTATCTGGTGAGAAATGCACCTCCGAACTCCCTGGGCTAACCTTTGCCCAGCGCCTGTGACCCTGAGCACAAGGCAGGGAGAATGCTAATGACGTGCCTTCCACGTGCCTCACCAGAACCCTCCGCTCTGGGCCTGGAAGTAGAGATTCAAGGAAGCCAAGAGACCCATCCCAGACACAGATTTCTGGCAGAAATAAGTGAGGCGTGAGGGTCAGTCAGCAATGCCACGTTGGATGCAGGCACCCGCTCTCTTCTCACTTTGATCAAAATTACATTCAAATAAAATCAGCCTCATTTTACGTTAGCAATACCCACGACTGGGCAAAATCAAGTAAAGTAATAGCATGCTACTGATCTGTGAGGCTCTGGAACAGGCAGCATTAGCCTGGATCTAAGTGGAGCAAGGATAAATCATTAGCAACTAGTGTGTCACTCAGAATCAATGCAGGGATTAGGTAAGAGACTAGGGTCATAGTCTATTCGTGCAACCGGCCTACTTTCTAACACACTTTATTAAAAGGCAAACAGAAACGAAGAGTACAGCACAGTCCGTATGTATTACAGACAAGCGTTTCAAATTGACCTGGAGCCAATCTTACCTCTGATATTCAGGGCTTCAGACTTTTTCTCCTTTTTCATAGTCTCTTCTGGTTCATTCTGGGTGTTCAGAGAATCACCTGCATTCAAAGAAGAAACCTTGTGTTGTGTATAAGTTCTACAAACAAAAAGAACCAATGGACTCAAAAAAAGGTTTTGTTATTTTAAACTCCTGCTAGCTCATCAGACCCCCTACCTCTCCACACACACAGCCCAGAATAGTACATTTTGGCCTTGATATAAGCCTTGTGATCCACCTTTGGATTTCATTCACACTTCCATTCAAGTTTAGAAAAAAAAAAAGAGGCAAGTGGGAGCCCACCCCCACCCCCAAACCCATAACTCCCAGGGCGGTAGAAGGGTGGGCAAAGGGGAAGGGAGAAAACAAAGTGCAGACAGCATCTGATGAAGGGGCAACGGCTGGGGGTTGCTATCTGTTGCCCAATAATAACTGATTTTTAAGAAAAGCAATACTCCGAAGCGGACAGAATAAGGGGAAAGAGGCAAAAAAAAAAAAAAGAGGGGGCCTGAGGATCCAGGAGAAAACAAAAGAAACTGTGGGGAATGTCATAAGTTAGCAGCAGAGAATTAAAGCCGGGCTGCAGAGGACACGGATTTTTTACAACATAGAATCAGCCGCAGCAACAGCCAGAAAGAAAAAGAGGGCGTGGATGCGGAGGAAGAGACGGGCGGGAGGAGGGCAAGGCAGAGAGGTCCAGAGGATGCAACCGAAAGGCACCTGCTACGTTGGAGAACACGGTCGCCCCCTGCTCCTCCTTGCTTTCCGCCGCGGCCACGCCGCGGGTGGCGGCGGACGGCCGGCGGGGGCCCGCGATCGCGCGCGGGGAGCGGCCCTCGGCCGGCGGCTGGGGCTGGTCGCGCGGCGGCGGCGGGCGGCCGCGGCGGGGGCCGCAGCAGGAGAGCCAGGCGGCGCAGTCCTGGAAGATGAGCAGCCCCAGCACGTTGACGGCCAGCCCCAGCGCGCCGACGAAGAGCACCAGCTCGGGGTCGTCGATGCGCTCGGGCCGCGCCAGGCGCAGCACGGCCTCCACGGTGATGGTGAAGCAGAGCGCCGTGAGGAAGACGGCGTTGCTCAGCGCGCCCAGCACCTCGGCGCGCGCGTAGCCGTAGGTGGCCCCCAGGCCCCCGCGGGGCCGCCGCGCCACGTAGCCGGCGCCCAGCCCCACGCACAGCGAGATCAGGTCGGACAGCATGTTGAAGGAGTCGGACAGTAGCGCGATGGAGTTGCCCAGGTAGCCCGAGACCAGCTCGGCCACGAAGAAGGCGACGGTGAGCACCAGCATGAAGAGCAGCCGGCACGTCTTGCCGGAGTAGCGGCCCATGTCGCCGAGCCGCCGCCGGTGGGGGCGCCCCTGCGCGGCCGAGCCCCGAGCCCGCCTCCGGCCTCGCTGCGGGGCCCTGCTCCCGCTTCTTATACGGCGGAGGCAGAGCGCCCCCGGTCCCCGCACGTCCAGAGTCTAAGGGAGTGGCCGCGGCGGCAGTCTCTGAGGGCCCTCAGGCCGCCTCCGAGGCCCTTTCCCCCGGTCCCGGGTCCCGGCCCCACTTGGCAGGTGGCCACGGGCCAATGTCTGGCCTTCTAGGATAGCGCTGGGCAGAGGGGGAGCTGCTGGGGACAGGGGGCGTGTCTGGAGCGCCCTCCTCCCAGACACCCTGAGGCATTGGCGGGGGGCGGGGCGGGGGGGGGTTCACCTGCCGATCCAGACCCCGCTTCCCGGGTCTCTCCCCTCCCCGTGACCTGACTGTTGACTCCTGGCGGTAAGGACCTTGACTGCTGTGGGGCGTGTTCGCCGCGGTGGACGTGGACACCTTCACGTACGGGCCCGGACGCTGCTGGCATTACAGATTCCACGTTAGCCCGGGGAGGCCCCGGCCAACCCTGCCCAACCTTCAGGGGGCTTCCTGCCCTGCATTTCGTGAGCTTGGAGCTGAGCCCTCGCTCGGCATGCCCGCTCCACTGGCGCGCGCGCTCTAGCTATTGTATCGGCCCTCCTTGCGCGTGGCCTTCGCGCCGAGAGTGCATTCTCGTTTCCCGTCACCCGCCTCAGGGCACGACGTGGTCCCTTGTCCCCCATTCTCCCCTCCCAGCGCCTCCCTCCCCAGGTGAGCTGCAGGCAGCCCTGGAGGAGAGCACAGATCATACTTTTTTGGAAGCATGGCCCGCCCACCCAGCGCTCAGAAATCAGTTTCCCCGGGGGGGTCGACGCAAGTCGCTTGACCGCCAAAGAAGTCAGGACAAGGCCTCCTCTGGGTCATCTCATTTTTCCATGGCACAGAATATTCCCTTCACCCCCATGTGTCCCTCACAGCATGACCTGATACTCAAAGTTCAATCTACTGACCTCCATGAAGGTTTACTCCAAATAAAGCCTTTCCTGTTGACGACAGTCTCTGTTCCAATTAAAAGTTATCCAAAAGAGAACTGTCCCCAGGACTCTGGGAGAGGCCGCCCACCAGAATCCTTGAAGAAGGAAGGGTGTTTGCTGTTGGGTGTTCAGGGAAAGGGGTGGGAGAGCCCTTGCAATTTTCTTTCTTGGTTTCTTTTTGTTTTGTATTCTTTTCTCATTCCCAAAAAAGGATCTGACTGTGAAGTCTGGTGCTCTCTATTCCCCCCTCCTGTCCCTAACCCCTGAACTTTAACCATTCCTGAAACACATGTGGTTTGGACTTGGAAATAACTGTGTCCACTAGTAGCACACTCTGATTCTCGCCTCATTCATTGTCTTACCCTTATGAACCCCAATCTGGTCTTCTAGCGCTAAGGGACCCTGACAAGCATGCTAAAATGTCCTTGACCTGAAGGTGCCACCTTACACAAGATGAGCATCCAAACTCAAGAAGCCCACTGAGCCTTCCCTCCCCGGCTCCAAGAAAATACCCCTACACTGAGAACTTGAGGAAACTGATCATTTAAAGTATCTCTAGGGCGCCTGGGTGGCTCAGTTGGTTAAGCGACTGCCTTCGGCTCAGGTCATGATCCCGGAGTCCTGGGATGGAGCCTGGCATCGGGCTCCGGGCTCGGCAGGGGGTCTGCTTCTCCCTCTGACCCTACCCCCTTTTGTGCTCTCTCTCTCACTCTTTCTCTCTCTCAAATAAATGAAATAAAATCTTCTAAAAAAAAAAGTATCTCTAAACACGAGTATTCAAATGGTCAGTGATTTAAAAGAAATAAAGAGTCATAGAAAGGCTGATGAAAGCTTTGAAGCTGTTTGGCCTCGGACAAATTCCTTAATGCCTGGTCTGGTTTTCACTCCTGTAGGAAGGGAATAATAGTAGTGTCTTCTCATATGTTTGTGAGGATTAAGTGGGTTAATATGTGTAAAGTCATTATAATAGTGCCTGGCACATAGTAAGCACTCAACAACTTGTTAGCTGTTGATTTAAAAAAAAAAAGACAGGAAGAAAAAGTGTGGGGTGAGGAAGAAGAGACTGGGCAGGAGGAGGGATGGGCAACGTGGGCACACGTTATCATCAGCACACTAGTATTAATATTAGCACGATGGCACATGCATGCAAGAATTACTTTTGAACCCCAGATGTCACACTCGGTCACAGAGAAAGATACCCCGGTTTCTGGCTTATCCTGTCTTCAAACCATGAAGCCTCTGCAACATGTAACATATGACAGCAAGCAAAGCAGTGGAAACAAGACAGGGGCCTGGTGGAAATCACTTGACAGAGCTCACCCAGGCCCTGCTGATTGCATTTCTGTGTCACTCTCAGCTGAAAGAAAAACCCCAGGTCAGCAGAAATCTATCGCTTGTGCCTGTTACCCAGTCGCTCTCCTAACAGAAGGCAGATAACGAGAATTGTGTCACTGCCCCAGGAGGGTGGTTGATGGAACTGGAAAACCTGGCAGGCAGCTGGGAAGGCAGAGGAAGGAGCTCTGTGTGAGGGGCCCTGCCCAGGGCCTCGTTCCTGAATTCAAGATAGGCTGAGGGTGTCAACAAAATGCACTCAAGAGAAATGCTTTGACTAGCTAACCATGATTAGATAGATAGATATATATAGTTTATATATAGAAAAAGAACATATATAATCTAAGTTAAGTGACAAAAATTTAGACTGTCTCCAACACTTTCCCGTAGATGGGGAGGTTTCAACAGCTTCTTTCTGTTTATTGGGCTTTGACTGCCCAACCCTGTGCTGAGCACTTTATAGACATAATCTCATTTCATCCTCACAACTGACTCATAAAACAAGCACTGTTTTATAGGTGAAGAACCTAGAGCCCAGAGATTTTAAGTAACTTGCCCAAGATGACACAATATGTTAAGTGATAGAATGGGGATCCGATCCAGGCATCAGACTCGGGAGCTTACATTCCTCGCCCCCACATCATACTAATTTGATCACTTTCAACACTCCTTTTGTTCTAAACAAATGAAAGGATATTTTTAAGTTCACTTTTTGTTGGAGTAGGACTTGATGTGCTACAATTTATAAAGTAGAGATTATAGCACTGAAAGTTCTTCCTACACCGGTATTGAACCAGAAACTAACCAACTTTTTTTTTTTTTTAAGAAATTGAAAAAGCAGCTGTTTTTGTTTTCATTTTTTATTGTTGTTCTAGTTGACCAGAGATGATGCTCCCTTCAAGGAAGAGAATGGACATCTCATCCAAGGGACTGAGTTATTATTCCAAAGAGGATGTAGCTCTTTTTCCCCATAGCTCCTGCCTCCAGAATTTAAATACATCATCAGAAACTGGATACTTCTCACCATTAGCCCAGCTCCAAACCCTCAGAGCATGATAATACTTGAGGACTTTCTAAAAGGAAATGGCTTCTCCAGGCAGCTGAGGAATCTCTCCTATGCTCCTTGTTGGTGAATTTATGTATATTTACAAAAAGCTTTTACACGTGTTATAAATATGTATATTTGTAACAATTTGTAACACAGATACTTTCTGTACCCAAAAGTATGCATCTTGTCCCTCAAAGTTTTTAGAATACATTAAATTCAAGAGATCCTTTACATGAGGTAACGACGCTTTTTTTTTTTTTTTAAGATTTTATTTGACAGAGAGACACAGCGAAAGAAGGAACACAAGCAGGGGGAGTGGGAGAGGGAGGAGCAGGCTTCCCATGGAGCAGGGAGCCCAATGCGGGCCTCGATCCCAGGACCCCGGGATCATGACCTGAGCCGAAGGCAGACGCCCAACGACTGAGCCACCCAGGCTCCCCTAACCACACTTTTTTTTAATGATAGAGGCATGAGGTGTAAAAAAGATTAGAAGTAGGTAGTGGTCAACTCCACTTTGAATGGGCGAATTACTCAGCAATGCTGTGAGTTGCAGCCCACTTAGAAGGAGGTGGCTCCCACATGAATTTACAGCTATGCCCATCAGCCTGCCAAGTGGCACCCCCATGATTTCTCCAAAATGCCACTTTCTTATAGCAAAGTGGTGCATCTGTTCCTAGCACTAGGCAGTGGTCAGAATGCAAGCCTCATCACAACATCAAATAATACAACTTTCTTATTGAAAAAAAAAGACTCTAGGTAATTTTAATTTTGCACTTGCTTTAAGAAAACTTCAAAGGTTGAGTAGCGTGGCAGTTAATAATTTGACCTTTGGGGCGCCTGGGTGGCTCAGTCGGTTAAGCGCCTGCCTTCAACTCACGTCATGATCCCAGGATCCTGGGATCGAGTCCCACATTGGGCTCCCTGCTCGGCGGGGAGCCTGCTTCTCCCTCTCCCTCTGCCTGCCTCTCTGCCTACTTGTGCTCTCTCGCTCGCTCTCTGTTAAATAAATAAATAAAATCTTTAAAAAAAATAATAATTTGACCTTTGGAGTCAGACAGACTCAGAACCAAATCCCAGCTCTGCTACTCACTTGAGAGACTTGGGGCAAGTTCCTTACAACTTTCTTTTTATTCATGTGTGTGAACCAAGGATAATAATAGTATCTATCTCATGGGGTTGTCACGAGGCTTAAGTGAGAAAATGTATGTAAATTGCTTAGTGGAGTGCTGGGCTTATAAGAAGGGCTCAATAAGTGTTAAACAAATTTCTATTTTTTATCCCAGGTTGTGGTATTTCGTTAGCAGCCTTAATGGACTAAGACAAAGTATCGGAAGGCAAGCTACCAACTGTTGAGTGCACAGGTATAAACAAATGGCTAGATTTGTATACCCCACCAGAGATAATGAGATTGGGCTATTTGATACATTTGGCAGTAACAATGCCATGTTATTTGGGGTCGGCTAGTCTTTGTGGGCACCGCAGCTCTGGTCTGTGTGCTTCTTACCATCTGCAGATCCCAAGGGCACCCCGAGACACTCACTGGGAAGTGCTATGAGTGACATCTGGGGAGGGAGGGGAGGTAAGTGAGAACAAGCAAGTGGAAAGGGACATGGCTATTGGGAGGAAGGGGGAAAGGATTAGAGGCAAAACTGGGAAGTCAAGAAATACATCATCCAAAACTCATCACTTACTGACAGCATTTGGGTGTGACTCTTCCTGCTTGGTGAATAGGAGAAAAAAAAAATCAGCTTTTGGACCATTTCCAATTCAAATGGAAGCAAAAAACAAAACAAAAACCTTCAGAGGTACAAGAAACGGAGAAACTCTCCCCCTGCCCAATATGCATTCTAAACCCAGGAATCGTTTTTGCTATAAGTTAAGTTCCGTGTCACTTAATAATTTACAAAAA